TTGTTCGCGCCGACAAAGTGCTTGATCCTGGTAGATGAAGAAGGAGCAATTCTCGTGGGAACCTTCTCGACAGATGAGACCCCCATTGAGGAAGACTTGCTCGTGGTAGAAGGAGGTCTCGGTTTCTTTCTCTGTGGAGACGCATCCCTTGATCGTGAGGTTGCAACTTCATCTTCAATAGATCTATGCTAACCATCCTCTGATCAGGGAGCTCGGTTTAGGACTTCTTCCTCTTAGCAGGCAGATCATTCGGGTCTAGGCCATGCAGCTTCCATCTTACAAAATTTTCGGCATGGGGCAAACCACCAACTTCCCTCTAATGCTTACTCAGCAACCAGCGCCACTCATGGAATCTAGTAGGAATGTTCAGGGCTTGATGAACCTTAGTCATCTTAGTACATTTCGAAGAATTCAAATGAAGCTTTATCATATCAAGGGTGTACAACTTACCATCGCAATAGGTGAGCGAGATGAGCGGACCATCTCCGAACTCCCCTTTCCACGTGCCACTAACCTCCAACACGTCAATATGCCACACACGGTCCCCTTTACTGAAACTGTCAAAGAGCTTGGCGTTAACACGCGAACCTGAGCATACTTCTCGTAATGTCTCACCTCAAAGAAGTAGAAGAATTCCCGCACTGTCATATCCAACTTGAAAAAGTGGCTCAGATTTTCAAAGCAAATGATCGCTCGATAAACATTCGCAGTACATTGGCTCGAAGCACACTCCATGGCGCAGAACACCTCTCTGAAGAACTTCGACAGCGGAAATGTGAAGCCCATGGAGAAGTAAAAGGGACAAAACGTGATAACTAGGGTGCTCGAATTGTTCGGATTCACACGAAGCACATTGACGGACAAGGGCTTTGCCAACTTGACATGCATACGTCCTTCAGAATGGTAGAGTCGAAAGTGGCACGCCACGTTTTAAACTGGGCCTCGGTGGTGACACGATGCAGATTTGCCACAAATCTCTCTTTCTACACTTTGGAGCCACCCCACAAGTACAAGGGCACTTGTGAGTTCAGTGATCGGCTTCTCCCTTCAAAAGACATGGTCGCTAAACAGCTGCAAAAATAACGAAGAATATATACCACGAACTAGGAATTTTGACTTGCGATTTTCTTCCTAATTTTTTGCAGCTGTTCAACGATCATGTCTTTCAAAGGGAGAAGCCGATCACCGAACTTGCAAGTGCCCTTATACTTGTGAGGTGGCTCCAAAGTGTACAAAGACAAATTTGTGGCAAATATGCACCGTGTCACCACCGAGGCCAAGTTTAAAACATGGCGTGCCACTTTCGGCTATACCATTCTGAAGGAAGTGCATGTCAAGTTAGAGAAGTCCTTGTCTTTTGATCTGCTTCCCGTAGATCTGAACAATACGGGGGCCCTAATTATCACGTTCCGTCCCTTCTACTTCTCGCTGGGCTTCACATTTCCGCTGTCGAAGTTCTTCAAGGAGGTGTTCTACGCCATGGAGTGTGCTCCGAGCCAATGTACTCCGAATGTTTACTGAGCAATCATCTGCTTTGAAAATCTGAGCCACTTTTTCAAGCTGGATGTGACAGTGCGGAAATTCTTCTACTTCTTCGAGGTGAGACGCTACAAGAAGTATGCTCAGGTTCGCGTGTTCAACGCCAAGGTGTTTGACCGTTTCAGTAAAGGGGGCCATGTGTGGCACACTGACGTGTTGGAGGTCAGCGGCAAGTGGAAAGGTGAGGTCGGAGATGGTCTGCTCGTCCCGCTCACCTATTGCAATGGTAAGTTGTACTCCCTTGATATGCTAAAGCTTCATTTGAATTCTTTGAAATGTGGCTAAGATGACTAAGGTTCATCAGGCCCTAAACATTCCTTCTAGGTTCTGTGAGTGGCACTGGTTGCTGAGTGAGCATCGGAGGGAAGTTGGTGGTCTACCCCATGCCGAAGATGTTGCAAGATGGAAGCTGCATGGCCTAGACCCGGATGATCTGCCTGCTGAGCGAAAGAAGTCCTAAATCGAGCTCCCTGATAAGAGGAAGGTTATCATAGATCTATCGGAGATGAAGTTGCAACCTCACGATCAAGGGATGCGTCTCCATAGAGAAAGAAACCGAGACCTCTTTCTACCTGTAGGGGCTTTTTTCTTCCGGCAGTAAGTGGGCTAGGTTGATGAAGTTGTCCCCTTTGTCTGAGTTCGAAAATTAAGCCCCAAAATGCTTCGAAATGGCAGCAAGGCCTTAGGAAGTATTTTGGTTATCTTCACCAACAAAAACAACAGCAACTTACAGATAAACTTTCGGGCTTGGCATGAGAGGCATGTGGCATGGGAGCAAAATTATCATGGGTTTAGCACTTGAGAGAGAGAGAGAGTTGTGGGTTCCTACGAAGGGCAGAGGTTCTAATGGAAGAGAAAAGAGGTTCTAAGGAGGAGAGTTTTGGGTGATTTTCGTAGCTTCCGGCAGCTTGACAGTGACTCTATCAAAGCTGTAGCAATCTGCCAAAGCAGGGGAGATGGGGGAAATGGGCAAGCAAAGCACGAAAATTTCTGGGTTTGTAAGTGAGAGAGAGAAAGCTTGCTCTCTGAAGGTTGTGGGTTGTGTTGTTTGGGTAGAAGGGGTCCTATTTATAGCTGCTAGGGTTTGTTCTTCTCCAAGAAACCCTAATGGTTTCTTCCCAACCTAGCTAAGCTTTCTCCTTCCTTTCTTCTCCTCCTCCTTGACTTACCTTATGGTGGCAAAGTCAGCTCTGCCCAATCCCACAAAATCAGAGATTTTTGGTGCTCCAGACTTCTTCCAGCGACTGCCTCAGAGAGGAGCTTCTACTTTCAACCATCTTTTCCTCTTCTTTCTTCCTCTTTTCATGGCCAATATCTGATGGAGGAAGGGAGATGGGTATGCATGCTGGTTCAAAGGACGACACCCTCCCTTGTGCGCCAATATCCCTTGGTCTTTTTAATGCCTTCACTTGGAACTTGCTCCTTCCATGTGTAACCTCCCAGCAGCCCTTTTTTTATGTGGATCCTTTGGCCTTTCGTGGCTTTCTGCTTCAGCCAAGTGCTGAAGGCCTTGGACTCATTTCATTCAAATGGTATGGGCCTTTTAATATAGAAAACCAAGTCATCTAATAAGTGGGTTAAATTCACCAAATATTTGGGCTTTATGGGCTACCTAAAGTAATGGGTTATTTTGGTTGGGCTACTCTTGTTGAAGCAATGGGCTACTCCCTCTCTTGTGCTTACCCACATTTAGGCCTAAGAAATTGGCTTGAGTCCCGAGTCTCCCAAGCGACCCGAGACTTCCATTTCTCGGCCCATCAATGGGCCCCATGACAATTTGTTACCATCCATACCACAACCCACTCAAGCAAGCCCCGGGCATTTGAGTGGCTTGGGCCCACTTAAGCTTGTAGTGCGATTGGGTGTGGGATAATAATTTCCCGCTTAGCATGGCATATCGCTTGACATGCTTTTAATCATTATGCTTGATGGGATAATTAGCATGGATTTGTAGAGCTAATGCACTTTATAATCTTTATTTTGATTCCTAGCATGACGGATTATTTATTTGGCATGGCACGTGGAGTGTGACTCGTGCATGGCGGACTTTTGTGTGCTCAAAGTCGGGTTTTTCCTTAATAAGGTCTTGCACTAGGCCCGGAATTCATTTGAGCCAAGCCGTGGATTTTTTGGGCCTCAACACTACCACGAGCAAGTCTTCCCAAAGAGGAGTCTCATCTACCGAGAAAGTTCCCACAAGAATTGCTCCTTCTTCATCTGCCAAGATCAAGCGCCTCGTCGGCGCGAACAACAAGAAGGTTAGTGGCATGCAAGAGGTTCGAGATATTCTTCTCAAGTCTCCGATCGAACAGCTCAAAACCTGTGATCTGCCCTATAAGGAGGTTGCTAAGAAGCAGAGTTCAAGTTGTCTGCATCGGTCTAGGGATCAAACTGAGAGGACTGTACTGCTCAACAATCACGACTCCTCTACCAAGCCTCAAACAATCAAGCGCAGAGTTGATTCGGTATTGCAAGATGGAGTCAAGAGGGCTATAGACTCCTCTGCTCGAGCGAAGAGTCCTTTAGTTACGTGAACTGCTGGTCCAGTAGTTGGTGATAGTTCTAATGGGGATGAGCGTATATCTAACCTACTCAAGACAAACTTCCTATCAAGGTCTTTTGTTTGTGCCAAGCTGGTTGACCACATACATCAGGCTAGCGACCTTGGGAATCATGGATCAAGTTGACTGAGAAATCATGGATCAAGTTGACTGGGGAATCGTTGATTTGGTAGACCAAGGTCTCGCAGATTGGTCACCAACTCGTTTGGTATTTTCCTGATCATTAGTGATAAAATATAATTAGCGGGCATGATAAAAACATAATTATATGCCAACTATAATATCACATGTGCCTTGATAAAATAATTAAATAATTAAATAAGACACGTTTAATAATTCCATAATAATATATTAAATTTAATATTTATTAGAATAATGCTAGTCTTACCACATTTGTATACCACATTCTCATACCACTTTATGTGACAGATGATGTGGACAGCCACATCAATTAAAATTAATTTAACATTTTCTTTTCATTTATAATTTATTAACACTTTTTAATTGATGTTGATGTCCACTTCATTTGCCACATAAGATGGTATGAGCATATGGTATACAAATTTGTTAAGAATAGCATTACTCTATTTATAAGAATCTGCCTTAATTCAAAATAAATATTAAGTGGATAATTTACAATGAATGTGCATTTTCCTTAATAAAACATTAAATATTAATATTAATTAGAAATTAAAACAATATAATATATTAGAGAGAGAGAAACTGATCTGTTATAGGAGTGGAAGCCATTGTTGGCGTAAGAAGGAGCAACAGACATTTGTCGCCAGAGAGGGCAAAAGCTATTGTCGCGAGATAGAGCTTCGGCGCGTGTGCGCAGTCTCCACCAATGCAACGACTAGTGACTCCCAGCTTCAATGGTGACGTCGGAGTCGCAAGAAGTCAAAAGGAGGAGCGCCAATGCCGCTGGGCAGATTCTGCGGAATCATCGATGGCACGTCGGCGACTTCTCCGGCATCGAGCTGCATCGTCTTTCCGGGGTTCTGCAAATTGAAGGCTGGCGATTCCCATGGTGCCAGCGGTGTCGCGAGGTGACTCTGGGAAGGTCCTCGATCGATCGCAGCCGTGGCCTCCATATTTCTTGATGATGCGATGGCGAGTCCCGGCGTCACTATCGTCTTAGCTTCTGGATTTTGCAGATTGGAAGCTGGTGGTTCCTTCACTGCTTAGGCGTCTTCTAATTTGATCAGGAAGACACCCCATCACGTGGTGTCTCGAAACGTACCCCATCACGTGGTGACTCCACCACATCCAACTTTTCAAACCCTCAAGCCTCCCCAAGTTTGAAGAGGGATTCCTGCAGAGTTTGTGCATAGTCATGTATTTATAGGAGCCTGAGAAGTTAAGGTTTCCAAAGAATAATTCCACACATGAAAATGAATTATTCTCTCCCAATTTAGAGAGATTGAGTTAATTAGGGAATCCTCAATTATAGAAAGGATCCCCAATTTAGTCAAATAATTCCCATATTAATTGAGTTAATTATTTGACCTATTATCTGTAAATCTTTGCTTCCACAAACCTTATGCTATGTTAAGATAAAATTCCGAATAATGTGATTATTATCCAAACTTATTTTCATTTGTTTGGGTCATCAAGTTCGACACGTTAGTACCATGACAGGATGGGTTCAGAAGCAATCTGATTGCTGCCACGAGTTATCCGAGACACCCAATAAGAAATTGCTTAAGAAACTATATTCTCTGGAGGTAAGACTAGAGACAAGCCTAATTAGGAGTTTGACATCCTTGTTCTGTATTCCACAACCTACGGTAGGTGGAGGCTTGAATGCATTTTCCTTATCTTGGTGTTTGTTTTCTTGTCTACGAGGTTTCAGATGGTGAAGTTGCTGTGTCCGAATGTGAATTGCAAGATTTATCAATAATTTCTGTTGTTGAATGCCCTAGATGCCCATAAAACATTTGCAATGCTATAGACCTTTCTCGCAATTTGTAAGGTAATAGAATCTGATTTTAGGCTATGATTATCTAGTTTTTGAAGTGTTGCTTCTGGCTAGAAACTACGTCTTAACCTTTCTTTTCCATTCTTCAACAAGACTCAAAGCTATTCTCTTTATTTGGAGTGTATTAGCTTCTCATTGGTTAGTATCCCCCAGGAAATGGTACGATGGAGAAGCTCTCTCTCTCTCTCTCTCTCTCTCTCTCTCTCTCTCAAGGAACAATAGTAACATATCAATGTCTGACACCACACCAGAAGGTCGGCCATTGCAACCATATTTTATCAAGTAAAAGATAACAAAGGGCTACAAAGTAAAATTAGTTAGAAAGATATGCCTTAAGGAATTCCGGAGAGAACATTTTTCAAGACTTTCTCCCCTAAGTTAAACTTTCTCGTTCATTTCAAAATGCAGCAAGTTACTTCCCTCATCTTTCCCAAACAAAGGTATGCAAGAACACATATTTATATTTCGATGCATTCAAAGGTAAGGCATACGCCAAACGGTATGTTATAACACATTATATGGGCACCATTGAAGTTCACAGAGGCTATAAATCTAAAAACTAAGTTGCACAGAGAATTAGTACACAGTGATATTTTTGTTAAGAAATATGACAAGAAAATGAATCTCCTTTTCCATTACGTAGTAAAAACCGGCATCTCACCTTAAACACCTTTACTGCAATCTCGCACTAAGAGATGCACAAGCAGCCAAACCACCTCCCTGCCAAGATGCTCAACCACCACTGCATTTCTAATATTATGTTGCATTTAACTTAAAGGGGAACAAAAGGGAAGGACAAAGGAAACAAGGACAACATCCCAAAATATCACCTCTACATCAGCTGAGTTCTACCATGACAACCCTCAAGGGGTTGTTTCCTCCATTGGCAAATCACTAATTGAGGAAAGCAGTTGTTGGATCTGAACCCAAGTCGCTTCCATTGATTCAAAGTCCTTTTTGGCTTGCAACGCTCTTTTCACCCGAGCTTTCTCATGGATACAGTGATCATGAAGCAACTTCTGTGTGCGCTCAAGCTTGTAACTGATTTGATCCATTTTGGTTTTGGCGTTGGCATGAAACTCCTCCAGTTTCTTCAAAACAGCTTTCTCCTCACCCAGTTTTTTCTCAAGCTCTTCAATGATTGATTTTTGTACAGTGATACAAGTCAGAAACTTTGGTTCATCTTCTTGAGCTTTAGAAAAGCGAAGAGAATAAACTTCTACTTCTTGTTCCAGTTCAATTTTCTGATTAAATTGTTTTTGAACTTCAGCTGTGATTCCACTAGCCAAGTGATACTTGGACTCCACAAAAGCAAGCTTCTCCTGGACATTTTCAATGTTCGCAAACTCAACTCCAGTTTGGTCATTCGTTATGAGCAAGATTTCCAACGAAGATTTTAAGTTATGTAAACATTCAATCTCCATGACTTCATCTAGAGAGAGTGTGGAAATACTTTGGATCTCAGCCTTGGCTTTGGAAATTTCATCAGAATTAGGAATGAGAGCTTCTTTGGCGTTGGTGACTATGCAAACATCTGGATGCTGGATGAGATATCTTTCAAGAAAGTCCAAAGCTCGGATAGAGGGCTCAGGCTTTGACATCTAAGCTAAGATTCAGTCAGAATTAGAACACGACTGATAAGGAATACAGAAGTTAGATAAAAATTACCTTAAGATCACGTTTCACATGAAAGCCAGAGTAGTGCAAACCACTTTCTTTCCTCGAAGGATTTGGATAACATGACTGTTCTTGAAGTGGGAATAGAATGCTTGGCTCTGGATGAAGCTGAGGTTCAGCTATTTGGGTTGATGGAGACAAAATTCGAATAGGCAGCTCTCCATTTGATGCATCCAAAGCCTGAGTTAGTGGAAGATCTTTCAGCTTAGAACTAATGTTATCTTCAGTTAATTCAACAAAGTCTCCCTCATCTGGAGCATCAGATTGTGGTTTCGTTCGAAGAGGACTTGTGTTTCTCTCAAAGGTCGCTTTCTTTTCCTCAGAGTGAGATTGAGAATTGGACTTAATTAGATTTATCAAAAAACGATGCTCTTCTTCTTTGGTTATCCTTTTCTTGCCACAACCTTTGGAGACACTTAAACCGCTTTTGTCAACAATGGCTTCCTTGGACTTGGCATGAAATAGATAATTGCCCTTTATCATACTTCTTAAACAATGATATTCTGTTATAATCGTTCTTTTTTTACTATGAGCTCTCCCTCGTCCAGGCAGGTATTGAAATTTAGCCAGAGCCTGGGCTTCTTTGCAATGAGCTACACTGGAACTCTTTGCTCGCTGAGCCACAAACTTCATTCGTTTTGTTGGTGGGTGTGCTTGCAATTGGTCAGATCTGCCGCCTTCCATTTGCAAGGAGGTTAACTCTGCATAGGAAGAGCAAGTTATAAATTTTAAAGATCAAACAAATATGATATCATTACCTAGGCCAACAAGGTAAACAACTTTGACAAAATCTTTGATGCACTTGAATTCTCAATCAGCCATTGGAAGGCCAACCCACATAACTACTATTGAAACCTTAAAATGTAATGAGAGGTTGACCAACCCAGCTAAACTAAAAGAAGCATTTGGATTAAATGGTGTATATATAGTAACAAATCCATCAGTCCAATCAATGATGAATGAACACCAGTAGGGCTTTTCTACTCATCAGAGGGTGCCGTTGAAGAAACAAATAACTTCTTTCAAATTGTCCAGTTTTTACAATTTTGTTGCTGCTAGCGCATTAATATCAGTATCATATTTCATCTTTTAAATTGTTTCAAATAATTCAATAGACAAGTAGTTGGGGTTGAAAGTACCTTTACGCTTGTTGAAAGCAGATGTTGACTTAGGTGGATGAAGGGGTCTGTTCTGGTCCAAGTCATCAAGCTTAAAAAGACAGTTCAAATCTTGATCATGAGGAAAGGCTTCCTTATAGAATTTTTCCCACCAACATTGGAAGGATGAGGTGGCACTAGGTAGAAGTGAAAATGGAACAAATTTAAGTTTCTTGAACAAAAGAGATGTGGTAAACTTAAGCACCAGGAATTGTTCAGAAGTGTGAAATATTGTTCTTTCAGGGGAATGGGTATTGAAAGAGAAGAAAGGAGGAGTAGGAATGCCTTGAATCAGACCGAACTGACGGGCACAGAGATTTGGGCAATATGCTTCAACACCGCAAGTTTTACTTGCAGATTTCCCAATCATGATACCAAGAGGAAGATCACGACTAACAAGGAAGCTAGCCCACATGTCCACGAGTGTAGAAAGCTCGGTCTTGGTCATTTCAGACCGAGGAAAGATCAACCATGTAGGCAAAGCATCTGACTTTGAATATGGGATGAAGTTAAAATTCTCCTCTCTGTCAAAGTGGCACATATACATTAAACAATCATGAAATGAACATTCAGGCTCTTTGTACAAAACATACTTTAGTCCTTCACAGGAGAGATGGTGAACTGAAAAACAACCAGGGCGCACTTTTGGAAAGTATGCATGAAGCCATAGTTGTAGAATCCATAATGGACCTCCAGCAGTACCCAACTGAGAGTGAAGTAAGTCGTTGATGCCTCTATACAAGTAGGCAAGAACAAGGGGTCCTAAAGCGTATGATTCGCCCCTAGATAAAGCCACAGCCAAGGGTAAATTGGCCTTTATAATCTTGAATGAAGGAGAACAAATTAGGTAACGGCAAAGCCAGTAGTGTAGAAAAGCTACGTGCTCTTCTTCTGTGACAACTCCTTCAACTTTGTTATGTTCTCTAATGAAGGAAGAAAAATTGGCGAGCTTCGTTATCTTAATGCCAAAGTTATCATCTGGAATGGAGATGGAATTACCAACAAGAGCATCAAACTGGGGGCCATCTGGTCTAAGTCCTACCAAAGCACTAAGATCTAAGAGAGTAATAGTAAGGGGACCATGCCCAAGGTGAAAAGAGTTTGTGGAAGATGACCAAAAGCAGAGTGCAGCAAGTACTAAAGAACGATTGAACGGAATGGTAAACTTGGAGAATTGGAGAATATCATAGATTCCAGCTTGATGCCAAATATACTGCTTTTGATCTTCGACTCTTTGAAACCAAGAGAGCCAATTAGGGTGATTAGTTGGCCAAAACCGAGGATGATAATGAAACCATTTATAGAAGTTGGCATTTTGATTGTTTATAAGAAAATCTTCAGTTTTGCATTTCAGAAATTCATTCATATGAATGTCAGGGGCATCATTTACGAATTCTGATGCAGGACCTAAGATGAAATGCTGGGAATTTGAATCAGGGATAAGTACTTGAAAGTTGGTAGTTTTAGGGGCTACTTCCCTCATAAGTTGCCTCAACCTCTCAACAGCCTTGGTTCCGGTGTCCAATCCATCATCAGAGGATGTGGTAATCATGTTTCCAGGGAGAGAACAGAAAACAAAGAGTTCTAATCTGACACTGTTACTACTGACAGTCTTCTTCCTCCTGCTGTAAAAACAAAAATAAATAAAAACCATCTTTAAAACTGATAAAACCCATCTTCCATTGTAATCAACTTTTAATTTTACCTCATCAGTTAAAGTGTAACCACTTACATAAACAATTTGGGAAACAAGTTCCAGTGTGCCTATTCCCAAAAAGCTCAAGAAATGAACTGCACAACACACACCAAAGCTTTAATTAGCGACTCACCTCAGACATGAGAAACCAAAAAGAAATGGAAGCGATGATTAACTAGCTTTTGGCACATAACATGAAGAAACTTGAACCAGACATACCAAAGAAGTAGATAACTGAAAGAAGCTACCGATACAGAGAGTTCAAAGAAAAGCAGAACACTTACCAAGGCAGCACAAGTAGCTTTCCAAGAAAGGTGCATGTTTGATTTTAGATTTCGTTTTCTGTCTTTGTTTATGTTTTGCTTCTTTCTTTTTGTTTTCTTTTTTCTTTTTTTCTAGAGAAATGGAGCAAATTAAAACCCGCAGGGAGAGGATGGTGAGAAGTCTTTATTGGCATATATTTATATCTATTTGAAATCTCCTTGTCATGATCCCAACGAAGAAATTAATTTTATTTCTTGTAAATTTTAATTTCCATTCTCTACCTATCAATTTTACAAGTGAGTAACAAAATATTGAATTGATTTTGGGAAAATATACATAAATACAACTAGCCACAACATTTCAATTAAAAACAGGATCAGATACGAATTGTAAAAAAAATATAATTTTACCCGCACAAATTTACCAAAATACATTTCATATATAAGTACAATTTGTTGTATAGTGTCATTTTCATAATCTAAAAAAGGGAATTGTTGCAAATAGAGCCCAAACATTCTCTCTAACCTTCTCGTATTTCCTCATAACATGTATCACTTTTAATACACTTTAAATAATGTCATTAATGTATTAAACAAACTAGCTTTTGTTTTTTAAATTTACCGTTATTAAATGTATTGACTTTTATATTTTCTATATTTATCCAATCTACAAGTTTCTTCCCGTTTGGTGTTCTAATAAAGCATATCTTCCAACAATAAAAAATAAAAAAAATTCTTCCCACCTTGTTAAAAAAATTTAAAACATCAGTTTTTTTCAAAAGAACATTTCTGCTTTTTTTTTTTTTTGTTCTAGAGAGAGAACGTCATAAATAAAACTTCTTACCTTGTTAAAAAAAAAGAGGCTTATTTACTGTAGCATCTCCTGAAACTTATGTCAAATCTCACTTAACCCCCCCAAAGTTAAAATGGCCCACTTAAACCCCTTGACCGTGGTTTTGTGTTCCACTTTCCCCCCTCCTCCCCCCAACCGTTAACGCAATCTAAAAGACCGTTAAAAAAGCTAACGTGGCAGGGGCATTATCGTAAAAGCACCCACGGTGGCCAATTGCTGACCGTAGTCAACATTCTACGTGGCATAGTGGATCCCACAAGCGTTGAAAAGCCTAATCTAAGCGCCTGAGTTCGTACAGTTTGGCAAAAGAACCCCTTTTTCAGTCGATAGAATTTGGGGATTAGGGTTTGGACTGTATAATCGAGGAGAGAGAGAGAGATTCAAATAACTGAGAATGTTGGCACTAAAAACTGAACAGATGGAGATGAGTGCAACTTACAAGCGAGATGGACGATCGAGAGATCGATTGAGTGTTGGATGCCGATTCTTCCTGTCCTTGGATGCTGATCCTGAATAGAAAAAAGTCGAGACTCGTAAGGTCTATGGAACCGGTGTGGAACCAGCCTAAGACCCTCCGATGCCGAAGTAAGTTTGGTTTCTAAGAGCTCTTGCTGTTGACAATATATCAGTATATAAGTCAAGCTGAAAAGTCTTACCCCTGTACTGTGGTGAAGGGGTGTATTTATAGAGGGCATTTTGTATGCTCTTAGTACTTTCTTTCGATGTGGGACTCGTGGGAGGGCCCTGTGAGGTTGACACGAGTCCTTAGATATTTCGGGCGGGTGCTTCGAGGTTGATTGTGCAGAATCGGTAGGGGGCACCGATTGTAGACGGGATGGGCCTGTAGCAGCTGTTGGTAGCTTTGAGACAATGCCATCGGTAGCCGATACCGATTGTTCAAGGCCTTGGGTACTTGGGTGAGTCCCCATGATCCACGTGTCGTTGTATGAGTAGAGGATCAGATATGGTACAAACAGTAGTCCCCCAAGTTACCGATTGAGAAGCTTCTCGGTTGGGGACTTGAATCTGTCCTCGGCATTCTGATCCGGACTCGATGGTCTCATTGTCGCCGATGGTGGCATGTAGTCCCCCAAGTACCCGAGCGAGTGAGCTTGGAAAAGAGACGGCGTTCGGCGCGAGAGGTGAGTGGAAAACTCGTCGGTGTGCGCCTGCCGTTCGGCACAAGAGGTGAGTGAGAACTCATCAATGTGCGCCTGCCATTCGGCAAGATAGGTGAGTGAGGACTCATCAATGTGCGCTTGCCGTTCGGCACGAGAGGTGAGTGAGAATTCAACTGACAACGTCTGGGCTTCTCCATGCATGCGTGACACGTGTCGGTATGGCTGTGAAGAGTCGCGTCGATTCGTATCCCGATGCGTCGCTTCGCTTCCCGATGCGAGATCGGCTTTATAAATATGAGGGGTAGACGAGAGTTCGAATACTTGGGATTTTTGAGAGCGAAGAGAGCTTGTGAGAGGCGATTTCCGGCAACCGTGCGAAGGCTGAGTAGGCGATTTCCGGCGAGCCTAGACAAGGCGGAGGCGATTTCCGGCAATCGAGAACCACCGTGCAAACAAGGTATGTTGCCGTGTTTTTGTATTTTCATGAATCAAAGTGTTGAATTCGATGAATTTTGGTTGAGTAAAGCATGAACAAGTATGAACAAGCATGAACATAAGTGTGAAGGAGGTAGAATAGGATTTTGATTCTAGCATAGCACTTAGTTTCCCTTCGTTTGTGTTTGTAGATGTTAGATACCGAATCTGAGGGTAGACGTAGTCCGGGGGCCTTTGAGGAAGAGTCGTCCCAGGGGAGTTCGTCGGAGAGGGGTGAGAGTACCGATTCTGGGAGGTCTTGCGAAATAGTGGAGAGGGCAAGAGTGCATGCCGAGGCTGGGGGCACTTCGTCGAGAGTGCCTGAAAATGGGGAGCCTTCGACTTCGGGTCGTGAGGCCAATGGGGGTGGCGTGTCCGTTGCTGCCCCAGGGGAAGGGGTGTTGAGGATTGTCAGGGGTAGGCAACGGATCCCGATGGCGAAGCCGATGGAGCCTGTGTTCGGAGTAGATGACTTAGAGCCGAACACGCTGACCGAATCTGAGCTGGCTAAGATTCGGGCAGAGTACAATATCCCTGATTCGGTAGTGATGCGAATTCCAACGCCGTTGGAGTCATTGAGTGAAAATGACGAGGGCGTGGTCTTCTTTACTGATGTCTTCAAGCACGGGCTTCGGCTGCCGTTGAGACATTCGGTGCAGAAGATTTTGGCTGTGATCGGATATGCACCAGGGCAGTATAATCCAAACTTTTGGATTACGTTGCTCGGGACGATCACAGCGTTCAGCTTGGCTGGCGAGGGGGAGCCGAGCTACGAACAGTTTGCCCAACTGTACAGTGTGACGAGGGCGAAGAGTGCCGATCATGGGGGGTGGGTTCAGTCCAACTGTCTTTCGGCAGGGTAGCGTGGGCACTTTGTGAATGGGGTACCGAGCTCTCAAAAGACCTGGCGGAAGCGTCGGGTGATTGTCTCTGGTGACTGGGAATCGGCACCAGGAGTGATCGTTGAGAGGCGAATCCCTAGGACCTTCCAGACAATTGGTAGGATAGGACCTGCCGTTCGGCAGGATAGATGGTTTTTTTTCTTTTTTTTTTTTTTTTTTTTTTTTTTTTTTTTTTTTTTTTTTTTTTTTTTTTTTTTTTTTTTTTTTTTTTTTTTTTTTTTTTTTTTTTTTTTTTTTTTTTTTTTTTTTTTTTTTTTTTTTTTTTTTTTTTTTTTTTTTTTTTTTTTTTTTTTTTTTTTTTTTTTTTTTTTTTTTTTTTTTTTTTTTTTTTTTTTTTTTTTTTTTTTTTTTTTTTTTTTTTTTTTTTTTTTTTTTTTTTTTTTTTTTTTTTTTTTTTTTTTTTTTTTTTTTTTTTTTTTTTTTTTTTTTTTTTTTTTTTTTTTTTTTTTTTTTTTTTTTTTTTTTTTTTTTTTTTTTTTTTTTTTTTTTTTTTTTTTTTTTTTTTTTTTTTTTTTTTTTTTTTTTTTTTTTTTTTTTTTTTTTTTTTTTTTTTTTTTTTTTTTTTTTTTTCAAGGAGCTGCTCTACTTCAGGAATTTGTTCAAGGCTGGTCTGATCGGTAGGGCAGAACACGACTGAAGGGTGAGGGAGGAAGAGGAAGAAGAAAAGAGGCAGAGTAAGAGATGCCGTTCGGCAGTGTCTATTTTTCTGTTTCTCTGAATACCGTTGCCTTACTAACTTGCTTTTTATAGTGGCAGGTGGGAGACCCATGAGTGAGGCAAAACGGAGGCGGCTGGAGGGGCATGGGGCGTCGAAGCCGAAGAAGGAGCAGTCCCCCAGGCCGAAGAAGAAGGCGGCAGTTTCGGCGGATGACCAGACGGTGGCTGATCGCTGCCGTGAGAAGCAGGCGGTCGAAGCCGAAATCGTTCGGGAGGCCCACCTCCGAATGACGGGCAAAAGAATGATCGAGGGTGCTCTCGATGCAACGCCGTTGCCGAAATGGCCTAGGGGTCCGAATGAGGGGACGTCGGTACAGATCCCTGATGACGAAGAAGAGGGAGAGGAGGGGCCGGTCAACGTAGCTTGCCCTCGGAAGGCAGTACCGTTCATCAATTGCATGATCGATGGCGCTCAGATGGAGCTGTCAGAGGTCGAGCAGTTGTCGACGAAGACATTGCGTGAGCAGACCGGACGCGCCTTCCGGCTTCAGGCTACAGTAAGTGTTAAAGAGTTGTGGTTGTTCAAGTATGTTTTGATTCGGCATGTATTAATGTTCCCATTTGTGTTGCAAGCTGAGATGGAGATGTGGCTCTACGCGAAGCGAGCTGTCAATGCTGCCAAACGGCACCAAAAGAAATTTGAGGATTGCCGTTCGAAGGTTGCCGATGGTGAGAAGCTCATCCAGGAAGCAGGGCGGCTTGCCGAGCAGAACGCAGCGAAGGTTGCCGAGCTCTCTTCGAAGTTGGCGGTGTTGCGTAGATTCAGCTGCACCAAAATGGGTTCAACTGCATCCTCAACTTGTGATACTCGCAAGTGCACGAACCGTTGATAGTTTAGCGTATGTAAGTGCGAGGTCGATTCCACAGGGATTGGTGATTGAATGATCCAATTCAGTTTTCCTACACAAAACATAAATAAAAACAAAAGAAACAAAACAAGAAGAAAGAATGTACATTACAAGAAAAATAAATTACAACTACGAAAACATTAAGGAAATTAAGAGAACTTTGAGGAAGAGAAGAAAGTGTTGAGAACTTTGAGAGGGAGAAGAAAGTATTGAGAACTTGGAGGATT